CCGCTCTTTCATACCCTCTATCATGGCTCACTCTGCGTCCCTCCCGTGGAACGCCCTCTAAAGCCTCTCCTTACTGAAGTCCTACCCTTCCTGGCCCCCAACTCACCGCCCACCTCTCCTCCCTGCAACTGGCTGTGCTTCCCACATCCTCGGAAAAGTTGGCAGGCTGGAGAGGGCCTCTATCTCACTGTCCTCGCTATATTCTATGTCCCCCAAGGGTGGGGGCAACATCTGTCTCATCTTTGTGGCTCATCCCCAGAACCAATTCTCTCCCTCAGCGCTCAGGACTGACCTCTGTCCCAGCCCTCCTCCATTCGTCTGTTTGTTCCTCTGTTCCTACCCTAGACCGTGAGTTCCAGGTCGTGAGCCCCCAGGCTCAGTGTAGGGTTTGGAGTTAAGACTGCCTGAGGCAAAATCGAGCTTCACAGCTTACTAGCTGTTGTTCTTGCGCAGGTTCTTGAACCTCTCTGCGCCTCAGTTTCCTCATCTCTGGAATGGGTTAGTTAAGATTCAGTTCTACCTCCGCCCTCACAGCATGTCTAGCTCCAAACATTCGGGATCTCTGGTTTGATACCTCCCTAAACTCCCCAAAAAACCAAAGTTGCCATTGACTCGATTCCGACTCATTGAGACCCTACAGGACAGAGTAGAACTGCCCCATAGGGTTTCCAAGGAGTGGACGGTGGATTCAAACTGGCGACCTTTTGGGTAGCAGCCGTTGCTCTTAACCACTATGCCACCAGGGCTCCCTAGGAAAAGGCAAAACTCCCAGTTTGTATTTTTTTTTTTCTAGTGGTTACCGTTATATTTCTACCTTTATATGATACTATGGGCCCCCTCTTTCTTTAGGTTGCACCTATTGGTTTCCTCCCATGAACATCAATGCTGGCTTGTACTGTTTTCTCTCCCTTCCCTCCATCTCCACCAATACATGAATGTAGTCAATAATACTCTCTTTCTTACTGTTTATGTTGTTAATATGCTTCCAACAATGAAGAAACATGGGGGTTGTGTTGGCTGTGTTAGGGGTCAAAGACACAGCTGCCCAATGGGAACCTTTTTTACAGGAAACACCTGAAGATCCTTGGTGACAAAGGGGTCATCTCAGGATCCCTTCCTCCCAGGCTTGAGGGGGCTGGGAGGAAAGTGCTATGGCTCAGAGGCCAAGAGCAAGAACACTGTCCCTCTGCACAGCTGAGCTCCTTCTGCCTCAAGTGGCCAGGCCCAGGGCAAGACACAGTCCCTGATGGCAGCCACCCTGACAGCTGAGTCCCGCCTGGCTTCCACAGAGCTGTTCCTAGCCCTTTCCAGGGAGCGTCCGGTTGGAAAACAGACCCCAAGCTTCTGAACTTTTTCAAATTGCTCTGAGTACAAATTGAGAAGGCAGGGATGAGGGCGGCAGGAACTCAGAAGAGGCAGCTATTTTTGAGTGACTGGAAATAAAAGCTAAACACAGGTGTGTTCTGCACGAGTGGAAATTTTCCCAAATCCACAAGAATTCTTTATAAATAAACTAAAAAACGAACTATTTGGGTTGCCACATTTAATCCTAGTTTCCAAGGATACACACAAATAGTTCGGGTCTTCACACATTATTTCCGGAGCTGCGGAGGATTTATAGGCACCCACTAAAGGTGTGTGGTTCATTTTCTAGAAAGCTACATGAACTGACAATCTAAGATTAGAAACTACAGCAATGCCTGTCCTGTGACTCCTGCCCTACCTAGTGCAGTAAAACAGGGCAAAGGAAACCCCCTTCACTGACTACCAAAGGAAACCATCGGGCGGAATGCGGGGCCAACCGAGAAAGCTCTACAGCAAGGGCAACTCAATTTAGAGAACAGTACTTCAGGCTTCTCACCTCAACTCACACATCTTGAAATGCATATACAACAAATCATGGTAAAACTCTTCATTTTACAATAGCAATAGCTCACACTCATCTACGTAAAGTTCTAGGAGATTCCTCCCGGGGGAGGAGGTTAAGACTTCTCTGTAACATCAACAGAGTTTTACAGACGCAGACTCGATTTCCCCCACTTTCAGCAGGCAAAATATGGCACACTGTCTTTCCAACTTCTTCCTAAAATCTCAGCCACTGTGAATTCTTAACTATTTTTGGTAGACTTTTCACTGTTTTTACCTACTTACAGCATGACATCCAGCTCCAGCAGCAAACTGGGCCCAGCCACAAGAGCCCTCGCATTCTCAGGAAGCTGAGGTATGGGAAAGCAGCCAAAACGGAAGTGACAATCGCCAGAGTCCAGGTACCACTAGTGGCCTCCTCCCTGTGAGAGGCACTTCATACACAGTGTCTTAGTAAATCCCCACAACAGCCCTTGCTTTACGGCCTAGGACCCTTAGGTTCAGAGGGGTTGAGTAACATGCCTAAAGACACACAGGCAGTACTGAGAAGATTCATGTGGAACAGCCACGTGGACCAAGGCCAGGCAGATAGATTGAGGCCAGACCACTTGGGGAACTGAGTGCCCAGAGAATATAGCCCTAGTGGCACAGTGGTTAAGAGCTGGGCTGCTAACCAAAAGGTCAGCAGTTCAAATCCATCAGCCGCTCCTTGGAAACCCTATGGGGCAGTTCTACTCTGTCCTATAGGGTCGCTATGAGTCAGAATCCACTCGACGGCAAGGGTTTGGTTTTGGTTTTTACAATAAAGGAAAAAGGAATTTACTAAGATGGTCCTTGGAACAGAGGGGTTACTGAGCAAAGCACTGTTATTGGATACAAAAGAAGGGCTGTGGTGTTAGGAGCTGGGGAGAGGACTTAGGAAGAAAGTGTCTGCAGGTTCTGGCGCTGCTTGGCTTGGGGACCCGGGGGACCAAGTGGTGCAATGATACGGGAATTCTAGTTCCAAGTGGCAGGATTAGTAGGCAAGCCAGTCAAGGAACCAGGTATATAGGGAAGATGACCAGTTCACGGTTTGGAAATGCAATATTAATATCTGTAGGTTGTGTTACAGTTTCCAAACTGCTTTTAAATACATTAATTGATTAAACTGGGTAAATGTGACGTCACCTTAGGGAAACTCCTGACAGCAGCCTTTCACACCCGCCTGCTTATTTCTCTGTCCTGTGTGGATGTTACCCGTAGAGAGTCCCTGTTGGACTATGATCTCAATACAAATCAGATTCTTTTTATCACACTGGACCTCCGGCTGGGATGTAGGGTCAAAATAATCAAGATGAATGTGTTCTCATCATGATATGTATTTATAAGGGTAAGGACTGGAATATATGCATTAAGACAGAAATAGATGTGCTCAGGTAAGAACCATCCATGGTGTTTTCTTTTTCCAAAACCTCATTAAACATTACTGATACAGCTGGTACGTCGGTGCATCTGTTTTCAATTAAAAAGAGGCTGCTGTCCTGCCAAAAACAAAAACAAAAACCAGGAAAATAGACCCACCCATTGCAGAGAACGGCAGTTATTTAATTCTCTGGTTGCTTTGTCATCACGGGGGAAAGGGCTCCACCCCTTTACCTGTATCACAAAAACCAAACATCTGTGCTAATTACTGAAGTATCTGCATTATGCTTCACGCCCATTTAACAACTTCCTTATTCTGTTTGTTTGGCTAAAGGTATGGTTAAAAATAGGAAATGCACTGTGTATAAGAAATTGAGGCCCCACATGAGGGCGAGGGAGAGGGGATGAAAAAGAGAAAACCCGAGCTGGCCTCATTTGCAGAAAGGAACAAGGGAGCCATTTCTCCCCTTCTCTGATCTTCTCCTGCCACGTTCCACACCTACAGCAATATACTGAAATAACTTAAGGGGAGAGTATGTTTATAGGTACAAAGATGGCCAAGTTCTGGAGTGATCTGAGAAGCAGGGGGATCATTTGCTATTCAGAAAGGCCCAGCCCTTCTCATGCAGAGGGGGTGAGAGGACCAAGCTCTCTCACTCAAGAAACTTGACCTTGGGCAAGCTACTTACCCTCTCTAGTCATCAGTTCCCTGGCATCTTTGGATTAAGGCACTTAAAACATACACCCTCTAAAGCCCTTTTGGAGAGTAACCATCCTTGATTATAAAGGTAGGCCCTGGGTGGAGGTGTGGCAGCCCCGTGGGCCCTCCTTCCCAGTAATGGCCAGAGGTAGTAGGTTCCTGGGCCTTCCCCCAACCCCAACCCCTTCCTCTCTTTCACTACATCCTCCATCCTGCCAAAGCCCCGCGTCTGCACAGGTAGCCATGATGACCTCCAAGTCACACCTGTGCTAAGGGAATTACAGTTCCCTGCCACTCACCTGGACACAAGAATAAAACCACCTGACACATATTAAAGACTGTTCAGCTTTTAATCATATTCCACCATCATAACAACCCTGACCTTCAGAGAAAAGGCCACATATTCCAGGAATCATTTAAATAAAACATCTTTCAACCACTTACTTGGCAAGCACCATTGCACAAAAACATAAACATCACACAGTCAAAGCCTGGTTAAATGGCGTCCCTTTACACAGATTTTATAGCTCTCCAGTTTACAGGGCTCTGCCTGTAATGATAATAAAATCATCCGAACCTCTTAGCCCAAACAAGACAGGAGAAATTCCCTCAGGATGCCACCTGCCTTTGATCTCAACAGCAAACATTCTTGAAGCGTGTTTGGCCTGCGAGGCATGACCTGCTTTTTCAAAGCCCCTCCTTGGACACTGATGACACAGAGCTTCACAGCGCGGCTGCTGCGGAGGGCAGGGCTCCAGCCAAGCAGGCCACCTTTGGGGTTATCCGTTCTGGGGCTGATGTTTTCTGCAAGGACATGCAAATCTGCAACTGGCCCAAAGCAAACAGAATCTGTTCACCTCTCACGGAGTCCATTCACCTGGATTCATCGGTCTTGGCCTGATCACCCGAAAAGATGCTCACCATGGGCCTGTGAAAACCAAGTGCTTCAAGGGCTTAAACAAAAGCTTGCCCTCTACAGTCAACACCCCAAAGAGTTTCACAGTTTACATGGCAGGAGAGAACTTTTGTTTACCTTATTGATGAGAGCGACTATATCACCTTCTTTGATTGTCAATTCATCGTCATTCTGTGCCTCATACGGAAATATTACTTTGCAGTAATCCTTGGCTGTAGGAAGAAAGAAAACACAACCTTTAAAATGCTTTATCTAATGAGCTGGACCAGGAGAGGCTGTTCTCTAGCACACTAACTTCAGGGAAAAGCACGCTGAACAGGTAGGATAGTACCACTGCATAAAGAGACAGTCATCCTCAGAAAATGACCTCAGATTGCTCATTTCTGGCTCATGCATGTTTATTGTTTTCATTTTTTCCCTCCCAAATCATGTGCTGTCATGAAATGCCATGACTACTTAATTTCTCTCAGGCAGAAAAGCAAAAATGTTTCCTTGGTCTCAAGAAAATAGACATGTGCCATTTTATATATTATTTGGGTGCATACATAAGCTGATACAACCTACAAAGAGCAAAAACTTCGAACTTTGCCTCACTGCCTTCTTCCCTACATCACTAAATCAGAAACAAGGTATTTGTATATGTTACAAAGCAGATGTGGTACATTATACAATGAAAAATGATCCCATTATGGTATGTCTTAAGAGGCAGATGATGATGTGTTTGTATGTGAACACATGTATATAAATTTGCACTGATCAAATGTTCTTTACACACACATGTGAACCTGCCTATTCATAGATGGAGTTATTTATCAGCAAGTACATGCACCAGCCCTCTCCAAAGAGGGACAAATACCAAGGTCACTCAAAATCAATTCAAACAGGTCTGAATTATGAGCTTTTGAAAGTCTATCTAATGATGTAAATGTTAAATCTTCTCTAATTACACAAAAGTACCAGTTAAAACGGTGAAAACATTTGTGTTAAAATATTTTTAAGGTAGTTGAGAAGTTAAGACATGGATAACTAGGGTCTGATGACTCAAGACAGAAGGTGGGAAAAAAAATACAAGAGAATTAGTATCTCCTGGAACAGGCATTTATTATTCTGCATCAATGTCAACAATCCCAATGGCTTTGGATGGCTTTAGATATTTCCCAAGGATTGGGCCAGTTCCTGCAGAGAGATCATAACCTAGAGTTATATGTGTAAGTATCAATTATATTGTCCCTAGTACAGTTTATATCACTGAAATGTGTTTCTTTATTATGGTTAATGTCTCATCAATCAAAGAAAGTGATATATAAAATAAAGCCAATAAAAAATCCATAATACAGATACAGTGTATTATGGGTTGAGATATGACAGACAGAGAGGGAAGGAGAGGGATTGACTGCTTCTGTGTGGATGTTTTGGTTTTCCATCCAATGGCTTGAAGCTAGCAGTTACACCCCCTACCCTAGCGTTGGAAACCTTAGGTCTTACATCTTACATTCTCTGCCCCGATGGCTTTTGCTCAGTAACTTGTGTTAAAATCCCATCAATACCAAAATGCCTACTAAATATTCCTAAGCCCACCAACGTCCTACCTCTCTTTAATTAGTAATAGCAAACCTCCCAAATTCTGAATCAGTCAAATGTTCTAAAGGGAGGGAAAAAGTTAAGCATCTTTAAATTGGATAATGACAGTTCCTTACCAATTTTCCTATTGACTGTGCTAGTGAAATATGACTACCCAACCTCAAAACTTACAACACTGAAACAAATACACTATCATTGAAGAACCGCCCTGCAGAGTCTCGCCTTTCAGAATAATTCTTTGGATGGAAACCGCAGACATTCTACAAAAAGATCAGATACCCATAGCCAACAAAGAATGAAGGAGCAGGTCATGTTTCCATTCCTTTCAGTCAGCGAGGGGGTGGGGGAAGCCAAGTAAGTGAGGTAGACACTGTTGGTTGACTACCTATCAGCCAGGCCTCGCCCCCTTCTGAGGTCACAGAATCCTGATTTGTTCAGGTATGATTTTCAGGAATACAGACCCCTCCTACAGCCCCAAGGATGACTAAAATATATCTAAGCAAATAATGTTAGTTTCACTCCTGTTGGTCAGTGACTGGTTTAGGGGTGGATATGTGATCTGCTTCCAGCCAATGAGATGTGAGGGGAAATCTGCTGGGGAGGGAGCCAGATTTTGTTCCCTGCCAAAAAGAGAGACCTGAGGAAAATAGTTGCTCCTGCCTTTCTGCGTGTAGCATCGCTGGAAGACAGTATAATGTTTGGTGCTCCAACAGCCAGATTTCAACCACGAGAGGACTACCAAGATAACCACAGAGGAGTGGACCCTGGGCCCTGACACTGTGGAGCTGCCTGGAGAAATAAACAACTTCACAGGTCCTGCCTCTGCACCACTTGTTATGACTTCATAACACTATTGCTTAACACTACCTTGTGGTCCAGATAGTCAATACTCAAAGCAGAAGTCACCCTGATATGAAGAACTCAGTAGAAGAAGGGGAAGCTTCTAGTTACCTCCTCTGAAAAACTTAACTATTGGTCTGGCAAAATAAATAAACAAATAAAATAAAAATAGCCTCTTCCAATACATCTTTGTCATTCTCTTTCACTCCTCAATTCTTCCTTTGCTACATCAGGACCTGGCATATAGTAGCGGGTCAACACATGACTGTCGAATTGACTTATAACCAACACAGTGAGAAAACATTAACAAGAAAGTACTATATCATGCCTTTAAAATGTTTCACAGGGCCATTTTGTTTTAGGCTCACAATTTCCCCACAGGATAGGGAAGGCAGGTGTACTCCTGACTTTTTTTTAAAAACAGCTTTAATGAAATATAATTTATCTACCATAAAATTCATCTACTTTTAGTGTTCAGTTTGATGAATTTTAATACATTTATACTGTTACGTGACTATCACCATAAACCAATTTTAGAACACTTCCATCACCCCAGCTATGCTGTTCTATGAGTGAGGCATTAGATATGGAATTATCTGGAAAGCACCAGAAAAGGAGAACTTTTAGATAAAAAGAGGTACTTGCATCATGTCTCATCCCTCTTTGCATCCCCAGACCCTGACATAGGGCTCCCACTCCATATTTCTTGATGATCCCCAAGTGATACCTATAATGTGGAGGAATATTGGAGGGGCAGCAAGCTAGGAGGAGAAGATTCTGGGCCAGGAGTCAGGACACTAGAGATTGGGCTCTGGTCCCAATTGAGCTCTCCCAAACACATGATCTTAGGTAATCACATTGCAGCTCTGGCCCTCAGCACCCTCGTCTGTAAAATGGGGGGCCGGAAAATGAGGGGCATAATGAAAGTTCGGTCAACTTCCAAAATTTCTTTAAAGCAGCCAAATACTTTTAGCAATTTGTCAAATAGGAAACACACTTAAATGTATTCCAGAACTCCAACACAAAACAACTAACAACAGAGCTGCTCTGGTTCAACTGTCTCATCTCCCACCCAGGTCGCCAAAAATATCACAGGGAAGCTCTGGGGGCTCCGAGGAACACATTGGGCTGGACCTGATTGCTGCCAGCTCTACCATTTCATGATTCTAGTTACAGGCACTCTAAATCAGGACTCCTGATCAAACATGGCAACCATCAGCCTCACACTTTATTATTACATATTTTAAAATAAGAATTTATTTTTACTTATAAGGCATTTGGACCCTAATTCAGCAGTGTTGGAAAATAAAAATGTTATGTTGGTTTGGATACACCAGTGGTTTTAAGACACTCTAAAACAAATGTTCGCATCACATGACTCCCTTCAGCTGGTTTTATAATACAGTCATATAAAAAACAAATAGAAAAAAAAACCCTCCAAAGCAGCACACA